CCCCAAAACCCCAAAACCCCAAAACCCCAAGATAGTGACATGCAAATGAAACGAGAAATAATAAGTTTTTAATAATTAGAAATGGATATTTCAGCCACGGTGAAAGATCTAAACTCGGCAAATATCAGCATAAAGTCAGTGATCAATATTGATCTCTTCCCAGGAAGTATTCTGATAGACAGGGATACCTACTTTGAGCTTTGGAAGATCGACCAGAAAACAGGCAAGCTCAGTCTGGTGACGTCTTATAAAATAAGGAATAAGATAAAGCAACTCAAGACATTTTATTGCCCGATTCTCAAGCGCGAACTTATTTTGATCTTGATAGAAGATGTCAGACTCATCATTCTAAATTTTGACTACGACCTGCAAGAATTTGAGAAAATAGGTCTGTACAATTTCAAAAATTACGATGATTTAAGTGGGAAAATCCAAAATAAAAATTACGCTGACCAGTGCTTGAATGTTTACAGCACTCAACAAGAGAGCATCATATCCTTGGTTCTTGCAGAGAGATGGATAGCTTGCATTAGAACCAAATCTGAAGGAGATATGGAAGATATATCTCAAGAGAGAAATGACACTGATCTCACTAAAGGTGAAAAGATTTCAACACTTTTCAATGAAGTAGAGTATTATAGTCTCAGAGATTTGAAGATCAATGAAATCAAAGATCTCAAAATCTTCAGGTCCCCTGAAGAAGGAGATCAGGAACTCTATTGCTCTATTCTGTATGCCAAACATACACAGTTTGATCGTAGAGCCGAAAAACCCCGAAATAGATGCATTGATGTGTTCAAAATTACAGAAAAAGAAGTCGGTGATGAACGAAATAGAAAGTTAATTGATGTCAAGCAAAATGAGTTTGAGGGCCTGGCCTCATTTTCGAATGTCAAGAAGATCAGGAACCAGTTTATGAAAATCCAGCCTCCTCTTATATCCACTAATTCAGCAGGTGAGAAGATAGTGAAGGTGCTAGATATCCAATTCAGGTGGGAGGATCTTGACTATTATTGCTACAAACAAATTGTTAATGATGGATTAATAATCATTATTTCACATCATGTTCTCTATGCCTGAGACTTAAAGAAGGGGTTTAGGATCTTTGCAATGAGCACTTTAGGGCTATTAAGCCTTCATTCGAGTTATATCAAAGATTATGTGAACCTATCGTATCTCAACCTAAATTTTGGGAATAACTTCAGGTTCACTATTGATAAGGAAAACGAGGGAGGACTTCATTTGCTATGCACCTTAAATTCTGGAGATATTCACTCTTTTAAGTTTACTAATACTGAAGGGGGAATTGAATTAGATACCAAGTGAGTTTATATCCAGGAAGAGAATCGGACAGTTGCTTCAGGAATTGCCTTGACAAGAATTAATCATCAAATATATATTTCTTTGAGTAGCAGATATTCAGACTTCTTACTTTACAAATTTATGAATGAAGAAGATGCTATGATGGAAACTGAAAAACCTGCATCTCTATTTTCTCTAATTAAGGAACAAGCTCATATAGAAATCAGCAAAGATGTAACGATGAAAGAAGAAACTCCAGAAATTCCTGTCAAAGAAGAAGACATTGCTACTCCCCAAGAAGACTTAAAAGCAGAAGAAGAAAAATCAAAAACACAAGAAGAAAAATCAAAAACACAAGAAGAAAAATGAAAAACAGAAGAAGAAAAATGAAAAACCGAAGAAGAAAAGTGAAAAACAGAAGAACCTCTTGAAGACTCTCAGTCAGCAGATAAAACTAACAATCCTGAGCCTTGCATCCCAGCCCCAATAGTTAACCCAGAAGACATCCAGATTAACTTAGGTATTATTTTTCTAACCCTCTAGTTGACAAAATTCATGTCCATGGGTCTCTCGACAACATTCAATTTATTCAAAACAAGTTGCTCAAATCAGAGACTCCCTCCACTTCTCAATCCTCTCCTCATCAAAATCTGACCATGATCCACACCAGTGGGTTCGGGCACCAATCCTATATGCATTTTCTCAAAAACCATCTGAACTCTCGCCCATGGCTCATTCACAAGGTCGACAATGTTGACAAGGTCTTCCCAGTTTCAATTGAGCACAAGGGAGAAACTAGAGAGAGCTTTGTCTTCTCCTCAGAAGACCAGTGGACGTACCTCTTCATCCTTGAACAAATGAAGCTAGAGGAGATTACACTGTCAACCTCTATTCTGCAGTCATGCCAGACGATCCTCTGCTCTAATGTAGTTTACGACCAAATCCTGCAGGTTTCTAAGCAACAGATTGCTCTATTCAAGCTTGACTTCCAAGAGAAGGTATTCTCCTTGGAGCTTGAGGAAGACAAGTCTTACAAGAATATCTTCCTTGGATGGGACAAGTCCACTGTGTATCTGATAGATAACAAGGATGGAATCTATATTTACAGTATCAAGCAGGGTGAACTTGAAGAAGACACTGAACTAAAAGAACTTATGACCCAGACCTCAAAGATCCTTGGGAGCAAATCTCAAGTTTTGAGCTTAACTGAGTCAAAGTTTTCTACCCAGAATGTAAACTATGAAACTGACCAGAAAGTTTACTTCATTGGCTCTTCTAATAGCTGTTTTGAGATTTTCACAAGATCTGAAAAGATATTTGAGTCAAGAGAGAATCTTATTAAACTTCCATCATTAATTACTGATAGAAATGAATCTAAAATTGCAGGAATTAGATGTTTCACTGATTTCACAGTTCCTATCAAGATGACAAAGGATGAAGAGATGTACAAGCATCCTAGCCACTGAGCCAAGGAGATGCACTACCATACATTCAATAACAACACTTATCTCTTTGTAGTCCTCATCAACGGACATTTGTTGATCTACAAGCAAATTATTAATAAGACTGACAAGTATGAGATCAGGTTCAAGAAAGTAAACATTCCCCAACTCTTTGGTAAGAAGATGCATGTGGAGCTCCAGGATTTTTCATATAAAGAACAGTCCTCTCTTAACTTCAAAAGGGCTAGATCCCAGACAGCTTCAGATCTTCTTCAAAATACAACCGAGGTTAAGAAAATGAGCAGATTCCTTCTCAAAATAATGAATAATCAAATGATTTATATCAGAGATTTTTCTCTTGTCGTACATGAAATACAGGGAAAGTTATTCACATACCATCTGACAAAGAGTGAAGATGATGTAAGCCAGCTGAGAGCCATAGATAGTTGGCACTGAAAGCTCACAGATCAAGTCAATTTCATTATAGCTGATAAAAACACACATGTAAAGATTTTTAGTCCTCAAAAAGAATTCAACTTTGGAAAGGAAACTCAGATTAGATCTGATATCCCTCAAATAAGGAAGAAGAATCCAGATTCAATGATTTATAAGAACATTTGTCTTTATCATACTCTGAAGTCTGAAGATTTTGTTGTAGCCGGATGATTCAAAATGGCTAAGAAATACAAAGAAATTGAAGTTCCAGCCCCATCTGAGAGAATTATTGAAGAACCTGAAGAAGTTCCAGAAGTAAAAGCTCAGCAGCCAACTTCAGGTCTTGAAAAACCAGGATTCCCGCTTCTTAAGCCTATAATTCCAGTAAGATTGACAATTTTATCCTATAGGATGAGCAGACCCCTCCCTCTATTCCAGGGCAACCAGAAGGTGGTCCACCTATTCCTGGTACTGTATCTGCGCCAAACGGATCACAAATACCTCTCAGACCAGGTGCACCAATCATCCATCGTCCCCAGGCTGCCAAAGATGAAGAAGATGAGGAAGAAGAAAAGTCAGAACTTGAGAAAATCTCTCCTGAACTTTTCGCCAACGAAGACCTAAAACCTCTCAAAGTCATCGTTGAAATCCCTTGAGAGTACCAGTACACCTTGAAAATAATAAAAATTGATGAATCGATATCTGGTAGGGACCCTGAGAAAGATATGAAGGATATTTTCGAAGATAAAAAGGAAGAGGAAACCCCATTTACTCTTAAAGAGTATTCCACATTTGAGTTCTTACCAAATGAGGTTATCCTAGACATGAAAAACTGTAATCTGACTTGTGACAAGGGCACCCAAGCAGATTATGTCTGTATTGGAACCTCAGTTATTAAACCTACAGCAGGTGAAGGCGGCTTCTATGGAGCTAGGATTCTTGTTTTTGAGATCCTCCATGACCTTGAAAAAGTAGCAGAAGGTAAAGAGAAAAGAAGTGCTGCTATTATTGATTGATGTAGAGGATATCTTATTTCTAATACTGAAGGAGCAGATTTTAATGCTAACACAATTGGGTTCAAGGTGCAGCTTTATAGACTCAGCAAAGTGAAAAAGAAGTTGATTGATCCAAACCCAACCCATCCTACAAAGATCATGGCTACAACAATTAATGTCCTAGCATGTGAGAAGACTAAACAAGAGCTGATTCTCTTTGGAGATGTACGTAAAAGTTTCACAATAATGCTTGTAAAAGATATGCAGAATTCTCATTTCCCTGTTCTAAAAAGAGCTTATGAGTGTTTCCAAGATATTTCTGTAAAAGCAACTGAGCTCTGGAAGATCTCTACAAATAAATTTGAACCAGTTGCGAATTGTGCTGCAGTAGTCTCTACTCAAGATGGTAGACTGCAGCTATACACATCAATGTATCAATCCTTGCAACTTTCTGGAGAAATCTACATGGATATGAAGGTCACTGCCTTAAAAAGAATCCCAACTGGACTAGATTCAAGCTCAATTCTTTTTGTTACTCAGAATGGTAAAATTGGTGTGTTTTCTCAAATCGATAAGAAGAGAGAACTCTACAACGAAACTCTTCTAGACTACATCTCCCACTTTCTCCCATGGCAAGGAGGCCTCTCTCCCATCCACGGTAGCTACTACCCTCGCCTAAACTACAACCACGGTCTCAGAAAACTCTCTATAAAACCTGTCAAAAAGATCTCAAACTTTGAAGAATCCTTCCTATTTTACGAACTCCCACTGTTCATCCAAAGACCTAAAAAATCCAAATAATCAGCTTCCAATCTAAATTTTCATCCCTGGGGTTTTGGGGTTTTGGGGTTTTGGGGTTTTGGGGTTTTGGGG